TGCTTACAGTATTACCACATCAGCCCAACTCTGGCTTCCCTCCACTGACTTCCTGTCCATTTTAGAGTTCATTTTAAGATTCTGTTTGTTTTTAAATCGCTTAATGGGCTGGCCCCTGAGTACATCTCCGACCTCCTAAAGGTGTACACCCCCTCAAGGGCTTTGAGGTCGGCTGATCAGCTGCGGCTGGTAGTCCCTAAAACCAAGAAAAAGACCAGGGGAGACCGAGCCTTCTCAGCGGTAGCCCCCAGGCTCTGGAACGACCTGCCACCCCATGTCAAATTGTCGCCCACTCTTCAAGCTTTTAAGTCCCGCCTAAAGACCCACCTCTTTTCCCTCGCTTTCGAGTCAGTCTGAGCCAGGACCGTCCCTCCCTACTGGCTGATCATGCAGACTGCATGGGGCCTCATGTTGGCCAGGGACGGCCCTGCTCTGAGCTATGCACTACTTATTTTATGCTTTTATTGTCTGTCCATAGCCTTTATGTGCCTTGTATCTATTCTTATGTGTGCCTTTTATCTATTGTTGTTATATTATATTTTATTATAATGTTATGTTTGTTGTGAAGCACTTTGGCAAACCCTCTGTTTTTAAAATGTGCTATAGAAATAAAGTGGATTGGATTGGATGACTCGTTTTTCAACATAATATAACTTTTTATATATTTTTGACCTACCCTTTATTTTTTATGACATTTCTGACATTATATATACTTGAACTTGTTTTTATACATTTTAACATACTGTATTATGACTTTTATGAACTTTTCAACATACTATACAATGACTTTTGATACATTTTGACAAACTATTTTATATATAATTTTCTGACACTGACTTTTTTTATCGCTATAGGCAAGGCAAGGCAAGTTTATTTATATAGCACCTTTCAACACAAGGCAATTCAAAGTGCTTTACAAAAATAAGACATTAAGAAAATGGCATTTAAAAACAGTTAATAAAAAGCAAAGATAATAAAATAAACATTAAAAGAAAAAAGACATGAATAAAAGTTACAGTGCAGTCTAAGATGTGAATATATCAATTAAAAGCAGCGACAAAAAGAAAAGTCTTCAGCCTGGATTTAAAAGTAGTCAGAGTTGCAGCGGACCTGCAGGTTTCTGGGAGTTTGTTCCAGATATTTGGAGCATAATAACTGAACGCTGCTTTACCATGTTTAGTTCTGACTCTGGGGACAGAAAGCTGACCAGTCCCTGAAGACCTGAGAGATCTGGATGGTTCATAATTTAGCAGGAGGTCAGAAATGTATTTTGGGCCTAAACCATTCAAAGCTTTATAAACCAGCAGCAATATTTTTTAAATAAAATGTTGACACACAGGAAGCCAGTGTAAAGACTTCAGAACAGGAGTGATCCACTTTCTTAGTGTCAGTGAGGACTCGAGCAGCAGCGTTCTGAATTAGCTGCAGCTTTCTAATATATGTTTTAGTGAGACCTGTGAAGACACCATTACAGTAGTCCAGTCTACTGAAGATAAAAGCATGGACAAGTTTTTCCAAATCCTGCTGTGACATTAGACATTAGTCTTTTAATCCTAGATATGTTCTTCAGGTGATAGTAAGCTGATTTAGTAACTGTTTTAATGTGACTGTTGAAACTCAGGTCAGAGTCCATGACTACACCTAGATTTCTGGCTCTGTTGTTTTGAACATTGCAGACTGAAGCTCAGCGCTAACTTTTATACGTTCTGCCTTGGCTCCAAAAACCATTACCTCAGTTTTGTCTTTGTTTAATTGGAGAAAGTTCTGACACATCCAGTCATTGATTTGTTCAATGCACTTACTCAGTGTTTTAATTGGAGCATAGTCTCCTGGTGAAATGGTTACGTAAATGTGTGTCATCCGCATAGCTATGGTAACTTATTTTGTTTTTTTTCATTATCTGAGCCAGCATGTAGATGCTAAAGAGAAGAGGCCCCAAGATGGAGCCTTGAGGAACCACACGTGTCATATTTGTCAACTCAGATGTGTATTTACCTATAGAAACAACGTTTTTTCTGTCCTTTAAGTAGGATTCAAACCAATTTAGAACTCTTGACGAAAGTCCCACCCAGTTTTCTAGTCGGTCTAGTAATATGTTGTGGTCAACAGTGTAATAGGGAACTATCCCATTATTTTACCATATATATATATATATATATAGACATGAAACTGTGTTGATAAATGGCATTTTAAATGATTTTTTGTGCTTACAAGTTGGATAGCTAGATTAAACTATGCTGGTCAACACGTTTTTGTAGAAACAGGGTATATGCAGGAATCCTGAAGTAAAATTTAAGACCTTTTTTAAGACCCTTTCCATACATTTTAGGACCTCATCACCACTTGGAATTTTAACCGGTTACATTGGCGACACACTTTACCTCACATTGACTATATACATTATTGATTGTCCTTCCTCCTTATATTCCAATCATTTGGACGCAGACTTTCATTTCCCCATAACGATGTTGTTTAACAACCGGCATAAACGGATCTTCGCGCGCTATCAAGTAGTGAGCGTGCGATGTCCTGTTCAGATGACGTCAAACCCAACGGGATGCCATAAATAAACTACACAGAATCACACTACACACCTACGCAATGATTACATTCAGGCAGACTGTAGAATACAACCTCTTTGGACAATTTATATACTTATTGACAACAAGCTACAACACGTAATACCTTGGAAATTACTGTGTAATACTTTTTAAGACCACGGACACCCTGAGAAAGTTGTGTGACAGATAAACAATGCTTTCACCATTTCACTCGACTGATTAGCCCAAAGGACGTGAGAAATCTGACTAATGAGTGTGGCCTTTAGATCCTGACACAATTAAAGTGCATCCCCAACAAGAAGCAAGGTGATAAAACCTGGGTCAGCCTTCTTTCTCACACCCTTCTGGACAAGTGTTCAGAAACGCTTTGAGTCATTACTCACCAAAAAGAAAACAACCAGACCAACATTTCTTATCGTACGATCCCATTTATTTGTAGTGCAAAAGTAGAACAGACAGGACTACCGATCTTCTTCTCAGACCCCCGTGTGAAGTATGCTTTAATCTACCAGGCCTTTATAGGAATCAAACAAAACACACAACCTAAAACCCTTCAAATGTGCAGCAAAAGATAGTGACGTAACACTATAAATATGAACTCAAACAGCAGTAGAAAAACGTCAAAACACAGCAGGGTCTACGTAGTCCATCGCAAACACACTCACAGGGATGTAGATCAAGTCAAACAGTAGCTCTGATCTGGGACTAAAATGACTACATGAGGTGAAAACGGGAAAATTAAACAGTAGTAAATAAAGTGTTGGTATTAAAACCTTATCAGACTTCCTGTCAACACACATTTAAAAGATTTCCAGCGTAGAGACATTTCCTTCCAGTTTAGTGTCAATGAGGTCTAGCAGCGGTAAACAGCCATTAGCTGAGTCATTATTATTAGTGTTTTTATCATAATGGACTCCAGTGTATTCCAATGCCAATCAAGTCTAAAGTGGAGAGTGCATTAAAAAGGTCCAAACCCTCAAAAACCCTATTTCAATCTTTGGGAAGAGGGGAAGCTAATCAAAAAAAAATATATATGTAGAGAACATTTGTATGTAAAATATATGATACTTTAAAATGTTCATTCTCCACCATAGAGGGAGGTTTGTTTTCTTTGAGGCACTAAACAACGTCACTCTATAGGAAAGTGCTTCGATGTATCTGTACGCACATTTTAACCAATTCTTATAATGAATTTGAGAGAAAATAGATAAAAAGGGATTGAAAAATACTAAAGCCATCAACACAACTTTTTCGAGCATCTTCAAATTAAAACAAAAAAAATCCAAACAGATGATCAAGACGACAAAATAAATGCATTGAGGAAAAACCACTCGGATGTACCAGTCTGTGTTGCTTTAAGTCTTTTCGAGCCCTCATTATGGTAAATGTAAAAGCCCCTAATAACTCCTCTCTAGTCTAACATTCTTCAACTGTAACCTTAACAACTAGTTCATATTTCATCCTGTTCTAGAGCATAAAAGACTAAAAACAAACCATAAAGAAACAGGATAGTGTCCACGAGTCTACAGAGGAAATAAAAGTCACCTTACAAGGTGATTCAGCCTCTTTTCAGGACTTTAAAACTCCATTTTATTTTGCTTTTAGGAGTTTATTCTGTGTCCTCCAGGGCTCCACAGAGTAATGAATCATCGTCGTACCATTGACAGCCAGCAGGGGGCAGCAGCAGCGTGGAAATCCTCTGAGGGGCAGAGATCCAGAGGAAATTAAGGCAAAGTTAGGGGGAGTTGAGGTGCTTCTCCTGGTTCCTCTCAGAGTCTCTTTTATCTGGGGTGGTTTCGGATGAGGCCTCTCTTGGCGTTGGTGGACTGTCTCTGCTGAGCGAGGAAAGACATCGCCTGTTTAGACGGACCGAGACGCTCCCCGGAGACTTTCTGATGCAACGCCATGCCCTGAGGGAGAAGGAAGGGGGAATTTAGTGTCTCTACTTTAAAGAGTCCTCTCCTGCTGATGTTCAGGGGTATATCAGTATGTAGTGTCTCTACTTTAAAGAGTCCTCTCCTGCTGATGTTCAGGTGTACAGGACTGTCTCAGAAAATTAGAATATTGTGATAAAGTTCTTTATTTTCTGTAATGCAATTAAAAAAACAAAAATGTCATACATTCTGGATTCATTAAAAAAAACAGAAGTATAGCAAACATTTTATTATTTTAATATTGCTGATTATGGCATACAGCTTAAGAAAACTCAAAAATCCTATCTCAAAAAATTAGAATAGTTCGAACGTGTTGGGTCCTCCTACTGGCGTCGGAATTGTCGAACGACTTCTTCTCAGCGAAGGTGCTTAAACCCCTCGAAGTTTCGTCACCCTACTTCGACCCTCAGGTCCATAGTTTCGAGTGACAAGTGTCTCAACAGCGCCTTTACGCACGAGTGTTATCGGCATAAGGGTACCGTCGGGGTGAAAGACGTTGCGTTTAATGTTGCCTTCTCCCCGCACTGACCGCCGATCCTTTTCCTTCGTGACCTGCGAACGGTGTCACCCCCCAGGTTTTCACGGGAAAAAGTCGCTTTAGTCAAACATAAAGTAAACCTTCAGTTCCGCGGTCTCCAAGACCCTCTTTCCCCGACCTCTCCTCGTTGTAGGTTTCGACCGAACTTTAGGTCACACTTCAAGGGTGCAGCGCTACCAAACCCCTCGGGTACAGTCTTGGACGACACAACACGTGACACAAAGGTAGTCGGTCTCATTTACGTCGACGACGATGTTCTCTAAAATCTCGGAATGTACGAAGGCAGACGACTTTTCGAGATACCTCTACTCATTAAGTAAAAGGTCGTACTAGACCGTGGACGGTTGTCGGCGGGTTTTGTGGCATTGACCACAATACTGGTACCGGTAATGACAGGAGCTAACCGGACGTTTAAGGGACTGGACTTGGGGTCATCTCTATATACACCCCAATAACACTTCCTCTCGGCTTCGTGGTGCTGGGTTGTTTACGGGAATTACTCGATTTCCCGGCCGATAACTTCGTAGGACCGCGGTAAGGTATATTGTGGAGTGTTACGGTGTCCCGGACTAACGGAGGTACGGCGGCGTAATACGATGTTATTAGGCGACGGTTTTCCTAAGCCGTTCGGTGCATGACCCCGTAATTACCCTAGTAAAAGTGTACCAAACGTAAACACAAAACGGACATATATTTAGAAGAAAAAAATTGAAC